GGCGTCAGACTTCCATATTTGTGTGTAGTTTCACTCATATATATATATATATATATATATATATATATATATATATATATACATATTTATATGACTCTGTCTTTGCTCTCATTTGTTTCCATTTGTCTGACTCTAAGCCTTGCTCCCTACCCCAATTTCAAACATCTACAATTAAGGCCATTAAATCAGAAGGGGGGGGAATCCCATTTAAGTAACCCCAAGTGGGAAGTAGCATAATGTGGCACTGTAGAGAGAACCTGGAACCTGGCCCTTCGGGGACTTTCTTGGTCTCACTGGGTGTCCCTTTGCATCTGCTTGCTATCTGTTCTTTCTCTACTGATGGCTTCCTCTACTCATTGTTCCTGCAGCTCTGCATCTCTGACCTGTACATTGGTCATGATGACACCATAGACCTCAGTTTATATCATTATCATTTGGCTTTACCTTCAGCTGCAGAGACTAGATCTCCTTAAGATTTCACATGTAGGAGGACTATAGAGGATCTAAGAAATTGCAAAAAATAAGCATACAATTATAAATCAGAGATAATTCTGCAGGGGAGCAGATGGGAAAGGGATCAAAGTAGGGCGGGAAGAGCACAAGGGACTATGGTGATGGTGCATGGGTGAATTGGTGGGAATTCTATGGGAGCTACACTTGAGAAAAGAAAGCAAGCATTGTGTAAAAATGAACAATGATGTAAATATATATAAATAAATAAATTATGTTTAATTAAAATAATTTTTAAAAAGATTTCCTGGATTGAGTTTATGAGAAAACAAATAATTTTTTATCCTTGCTTATTTTTTCACAGTATAGGATTTCTTCCCTCTTGTGCAGTCACCATAGTTTTCTCCTTCACCAAAGATGCCCACATACTTCATCTCTCCTCCCTACCTGTTCTCTGCTCTTCCACTCCACCCCTCCTCCTGAATGTCTCATATCTATGATCTGCTTTCAAGGGTTAGTCTTACAGTTTGTCTTTGCCTGATCCTTTGTTTAGTTTCTCTAGAATCTACATAAAAGTGAAGCCATCTGGTATTTATCTTTCTCCTTCACTTAGAATAATCCCTTCTAGTTCCACCCATGTTACAGCAAATGACCTGTATTTATCTTTTTTATTGCTGAGTAGTATTCCATTTGTGCAGCATACCACAGCTTCTTGATATAGTCACCTATTCTGGTGCATTTAGGTTGTTTCTGTATCTTGACTACTATAATTAGTGCTGCTATAAACGTAGGAGTGCAGATTTCTTTTCAAATTAGTTTTTGTGCTCTTTGGATCAATCCCTAGGAGTGGAATCACTGGTCATATGTTAGCTCCATTTTTAACCATTTGAGAAATCTATATACTTCCTTCCATAGGGTCTGGGCCCTTCCACTTTTCCACCAGCAGTATAATAGGGTTCATTTCCTCTAGCTCTCACCAGAACTTATTTGTGGTTTATTTTTTGACATGGGCCATTCTCATGGGCATGAGTTGGTATCTTTGTGGTTTTGATTTGCATTTCCTTGATGGTAAGTGATGATGAGCATTTTTTCATATGTCTGTTGGCCATCTCTATTTCTTTGGAGAAAGACCTATTTTTGATTTGGTTGTCTGGAGAAAACTGATCTTATTATAAGACCTTTTTCTGAGGTTCAGACAACAATGACTGCCCTACTCTGGCTTAGTATGCTGCAGCCAGGAGACTAGAGTCCTTAGGTCTGAAAGGATTGCCTCTTAAGCCAACTCAGGATTGGACCAAGGCAATTCTTAGATAGGTCTGTGGGGGGAGGGGGAAACACAGTGTTTGCATTTTCATACGTCAAGTTGTTTGTAAACAGGAGGGATTTGCATGTGTTTTATGGGCTTTTTTTATACACCTATTTTAACTTTGTGTTTATATTTTGACTGCATGCTTTTACCACAAACTAAAGGGTAGACTTAGAGTTCTACTGATGGGATTTAAAGTTGTTTTAGAATTTAGAAACTTAATATAAAAATAGTGAAAATATTTATATATTTGAGGATATTATTGTTTCTAGAAACCCAATTGCACAATTGCTACAAAATTAATAAATGTCTTGAGATTGGATGCAAGTTCATTGAGAAGCAAAATGTTTCCTTAATGCCAACATGTCCCTTGAATATATTTGAATCCAGATGTTTTGGCCTCATTTGCTGGAGTAGATGCAGCATTAGCCTGTCAGTTCCCTGCTGTTTGACATTATTTAGTATTACTACAGGCTGTAGGCATGCATATTCATTGGAAAAGTTGAAGACTTTAAATTGAGAAAGGTACCATACTACAGTCCCTGTCCAGAAATTCTGAGGCTAAAAGCAAATAAGAAAGACAACAAAATGACTAAGTAAATAAAACATTACAATACTAATATTAAGAAACAGCTGAGTAGCTAAGAGAAGTCCTACCTGTACCTGGCTTTTGTATTAGTTAACTGTCACTTGCGGTCCTTAAGCATATAATCAAACCTCCATTATGGGCTATTTCCTTCAGGGAAGCGTCCTACAAAACATGTATTACACAATTGGATGTGCAAACTCTTTAGCAGTAACAGAGAACATAAATTTTATTTCTGAAGGTAATAGGAGCCACACTATTAAAGTCATAAATTCATTCTTAGTGCTGTGTTAACCTTGTACCCTTAGCTTTAATCTGTAAACTATTACACTAAAGTTAATTTCTACTTTAACAGTAATAGCAGGATATAGTTTTTATGTTGTTTGGAATTTTCTTTATAATAGATATATAATAGATTTATGTCTTGCCTAACTGCTATGCAAACCATAGACTTCAGCCTCTCCTGTTCTCAGATTAGTGATGACCTCTATAATTTAATGCTTATTGGTTTTCCATATATATTGGATATATATTTACAGAAACCCCAGAGCTCTGGCACCATAGAAATGGCATGTGTGTTTTGTGTTCATCAGCAAAGACTTATAGATCCATTCTCAAACTACTTTTTCCTAGTTTTAAAAAATAGGAATTTAATAGCCAGTATCTTAAGATTTTTTTTTTTTTTTTTGCCTAGAATGGAATGGCAGTATATCATTTTCACTTCTTCTGTTGGTTTTAGAATCTAGGATAATATCATGAAATGATTTGGTTGTGTTATTTTCATCTTAAGCAATTAGACAAGATCAAGTCTAACTGATTCCTGAAAAGTTTGGTGAAATAACATGTGAAAGCATTGGGGCTTGTATATATTAGAGTTGGATAAAGAGCAAGGAGCTGTGATTTACCATTTTGTAGTTTCTTGGCCTTTGGTTTACGTTTTCTTTCTTTACGTTGTTACACCAGAACTATAAACATTTATTTTTTCCTGAAATTTATGCAACCTGACTTGTTTACTTGCTAACAATACTTTTCACTCATTTTTAAATTCACAATGGAATAGTTCAACTATGTGAACAGGTAAAGTCATACGTTATAGTGCTTTGTAGTGATTGAAAGATTATTTTGTCACTCCCCTCCCTGACTGTGGTGCTCTCCTGCACTTGAGGTCCATCATTCCTATGTCGTCATATATTTATGACGACACCATATAGACAGTCATTTTGTATTTTCACATGTATTGGCATGAAATTGCTATGGTATGTATTTCCAATCTCTAGCATCTTTAGCTGTGCTTCCCTTTTGCCTCTCGCATCTCTGTCTTCCATATACACACAAGACCAACCTCCGACAGTTCAGTATATTTCCTCTTTTTGACTTTGTACTTCTTGATCATATTGGCTGTAATTCATTTTTGCTGATTTCTGACAGCTTTTATTCTTTATTTTCTCTCTGGGTTCATTATTTTCTTAGTTTTCTGAACACCTATTTTGCTTATCCTTTTATTACCAATGTCTCGGGGTTCTTATGCTTTGATAGTTTTTTTTCCCCCTTTCAAACAGCATAGTTTATGTTTTTAAATTTATTCTTACAAGAACTGGGGTACAGGCCTGCAGTGTGAGGCATGAGAGGATTCACCAGAGTCAGAGTGGGGAACAGAACAGGTGGATCTACTGAGATACACTGCTGAGGGGCAGCAGGTGGGTCAGGAGAGGTCTGATGCACCATGTGGTCACCCCTTGGCTAGTACTGGAACTCATGCTGCAGTGGTTGCAGACTGCTTCACAGTGCTGCGCGTCAACCCCTGAACCCCCAGGGAAGCCCTCAAACAGCATAGTTTTTTAAAGAGCATATTACACATTGCCATCATCTATCAATCTCCTTTTTATTTGTTTAGTTCAATTACATCTTTAATGACTACTGCCTTTTTCTTTCATCTTATATTCCCCTGCTTTTAAATAGTTTTTGTTGCTGTACTTCCCTTTTTCCTGATCCTTTGGAGCACCTAAATTCTGTAAATTTACTATTCTCTCCTAACTTGTTTGGAAATACTCTGTTTCTTCTATGTGAGATTATACATATTTAACTTATTCTAGAAGTGATTACTCTTCCCAATCTATCAACACTTTAACTCCCTTGTTCTGCAGGTTTTCTGTATTTTAATTTTTTATTGCCACCCAGATGAGACATCACTGTTGTTATATATCAATTATTTATTTCAACAGTCACATTTTACCTAGCTCACTATTCCTTCATGGTCCTCAGACTTTTACATGTAGGATTGTTGCCACCTTTCTGAAACAACTCCCTTTGGAACTTTCTTCACATACAGGGATCTGGTGGTAAGCAACTTTGTCAAAACACTCTACAAGTGTAGTTTTCTTGTCCTCTTGCTCTGATCACAGATCAGAAACATGTGGCCACACACAAGCAGGCGCCCAGTGTCTCAGGGCTCTGAAGAAGCCCACAGGCAAGTCAACTCTGTTGTGCACTTTCTCCAGCTTTCTTCCTGGACAAGTATATCCATCAGGCCAAACTCCAGAGAGAAATGTGCTTGTCAGTGCCATCTGACCCGTTGCGTACTGCACAGAAACCTAGAAATTGTGGAATGTGGAATGTGTATAGAAAATGATTCACATACAGCACTTAAAATTGAGGGAATTCCATGCTTTAATAGACACTGAAATCACAAAGGAAGGCCAAGTGCCTTAGCAATCTCAATAAAAATATGAAGTTCTTTTTACAGGGTCAGTTTCATAATATAAAAAGTCTAATGCCATCTGGAAACTGTAATTTACAAAAGAAGTCCACATATGCCAAAGATGGCTAACACTGCATACAAGGGCTTGAGTGCCATGTAGGGACGGTGTCTTGGGAGTGGAGAGGTGACCGCAGGTTCCTTTATGTGGAACATATTTGAAGGATCTGGCACAAATAAGGGTCCAGTTCACAAACCACATGTACAATCATTTAAAATAAAACAACAAAATTGTGATAAAACTTACTCAATTTTCACATTCTGCTTACTTTCAGAGCAAACCAGATTATTGCGTGGATTTTTCCAACCTGAACTGAAACAGTGACAGACTCCTTGTGGTGGGAGTGGTGTGCTTGCCCCGGCCATCACCTGCTGACACTCACTGGGAAGCCTCCAGGGGGATGCCAACAGTGTGCAGCGCCTGCCTCCTGCTGAGACTCAGCAGGTACCAGTGTGGGCTGAGAATTAATTAAAATGGGATGGCAGCGAGAACTGCTTCATTTGACTACACACCAATGTACATCAACAAGTAAGTTCAGTAGTGAACTTGGTATTTCTGCGTTGGTGTTGTGACTTAGTTAAAAGCAGTGAAGTAGTTGGTTAATTCATTGGTGAGAATTAAGGTAGAATCTACCACCTTCAACCAAGGTTTCTGGGAGAGAGAGATTTTATTGCTTGTATTCCTGTCTTTCTTCTGATGTAAAAGAGTGGGGCAGGCCATCCAGTTTCCTGAGCTGTAAAAGATATCTATCCAATGTTATATTGCAAGGTGAAATAGTTCTATAACTTTTACCCACACCCATTGACTCCTTCCAAGTGGGGTGGAGCAAAGAGCAGAAGCCATTTACCTCTCGCCAGAGTTCCAAGTTCACAGGCATGTCAGTTATTACATCCACAGTGTGACACTTTTCCATCATCTACCTGGAATCAACAAGCTTTTTGTTTTTAAAAAAAAAAAAAAAAACAGGTATTACTTAATTTAGGCTTTGTAGGCCAAGAGGCAAAATCAATTATGTAGGTTTTTATATAGTTACTTTAAAATGTATAGTCCATTCTTAGCATATAGCCTAAGAAACCAGGCCACTGACCAGACTTAGCCTCTGGGTCATAGTTTGTCAAACTATGTTTATACAAAAAAAAAAAATCTGTGGATTATACAGTTTAATATCATTTTAAGTATATTTCACTGTAGCCTAAAAAAATCTACTGTTTTGATTTTATGTTCATTTCACTTACATAGACAACACCAAAAATAACATAAAGAAGTGGTGATACTACAGTGATTTTTAAGTTGGTCTGATTATTTCATCATCTTGTTTCCCCTTATTGAAGCTTGTATCTATACCCCTCCCCCCAAAATTTACATAAACCATTTGGCTTTTCAACATGAAACCTAAAACAGCAGTGTAGGGAAGACTAAACCAGGTTAGGTTCCACACATCCTTCTAGCTGGCTTGGTGACCCTGGGACTCAGGCTGGGTGTGGAAAGGGATGTGCTGGAGGTGGGCAGGCTCTCACTGCATCCTCACAGGTGGAGCAGACCCAGGCCTCCTCCAGGGCTCCTTGGCACTTGGGAAAGAGGCTGAGAAGGAACAGCCTATCTATCTACATATGGACTCAGAAATTTACTTTGAGGTTTATTTTTTGTAGTTGAAGACCTGATTTTGCTATATAAATGCACAGTGCTGTAAACTTGGCTTCGTTTGCTACACTGGTACTTCTGTTACCAGTTTTCCCCTATTTACAAAGACAACCTCAGAGTTGCTTGCTGCTTTCATAAAGTATTTCTTTTCTGATGTTGTGATTAGGATTAGACTGGGACATCCTTCCTTGTTGTCTGCTTTCACCAACATGGCTGTTGTACAAAAAAAAAAGTATGACATAGCTTAAGAGAATAACACAAATTGGATAAATATTACCCTTTTTTCAGAGTACACCAAGCTACAGGGCAAATGTTTGATCATAAAGTGAGACCTACCCAAGTCAGGCTGGTAAGATCTTAGTTTTAGAATAACTTAAAAGAGATTTAAATTCTCCAACTAAACTTAGTACTAATACGATTTTTCAAAATTTCATTTGTTTAATAAAATAAATTACTGGTTCTCCCCACATAGACTATGCTTTTGCCTCGTCTTAGCAAGCGCATTTCAGTTCACTGTCACAGCCTGTTGTTTTCCAGGGCAGCTACGTCCCTGTTCAGCAATGGTTCAGATGTCTGTCCCAGTAAAGACCCGACTCCTCGGACCATGGACAGTAAGTCTTCTGTGGCAGGGGAGGGCCTTTTCCTTCAGATACAGCAGTGAGTGGCACTTGCCACACTGAAGTGACAGTCCTTATGCAGCTCACAGGTAGGGTGCTGGGATTATGAGAATCTGGCAACGGAGCTAGAGAAAGAGGTTTTAGAGTTAAAAAGAGAATAACATTAAGCAGCTAATGAAGGCAATAGGAGCTGGAAGGCTAGATTTTGGTTAAATCTAGTTAGCCATGGGATGAATTTTTTTTTCCTTTTTTTTTTTTTTTTTTTGCTTATAAGAAAACTGAGTAATTTCAGCCTTTCCCCCAAACTTGATAATTACTTATTGATGACTATTCAAAATTTGACATTTTAAAAAACTTGTTGAGCTTTAAAAATAATAGCTATAAATGCAAAGTACTATTGATAATAAAACCGAGTTTACCCATGTACAAAAAAGGTCAATAATGTCTTAAAAGCACAAAGTTGCATTTTAAATCACAATTGCATAGTTCGAAAATGCCTGGATAAGAGTTACATAGGTTTTTTAAGAAAATTCAAGTTTGGTTGACAGTGGGGCTCCAAGGATATTGGTAGAGCTCAATGGAACATAGTTCAGGATGGAAGCACTATTTCAATGTAAATTATTGCATTATTACGGCGATGTTACAATACCATGAAACCAAAATGGCTACAATTGTAAATCATTTTAAAAATTGCCATTTTTAAAACCATTATTCTGTTTTTGGCTAATACAATTGCTTTGATGTAGAATTCTACAGATTTTGTATATCCCACACCCAACCAGCACCTGAAAGCCTTAAAAGAGCGCTTGTTTTTCTGTGTATAAAAGGTACTGCATATATACCTCCTAGCAAAATATGTGCTCCCTTTCCTCTTCCCACCCCAGAACCATGACCATTTTTTTTTTGTACAAAAAATCCTGTTGAAGATGAGAAGCTGGGAGTTCAAAGGTAAACATTTGGTGAAGTGTAGAAAAGTTCCATGAGCCTCCAGCACCAACCCCACAGAAGTCCTTGGCTTATGGTGAATCTGGTCTGAGCTACGAGCTGTGTGTGTGTACACATGTGCTCACAGCTGCTGGAAGAATGTGTGTGAATGCATGTACGCACATGTGCCGCCCATTGTGAGGTGGCTATGTGACGTGATGGCACTCAGACCAGGGAGTGGGCCCAAGTGAGTGCCAGCAATATGGGTTACTGTAGTGAGTCAGAGCGTTTAAAAGATGCTTTAGCATTTGGAGGAAGGGAAAAATCTTCCCGGGGACAGAAATTTGTATCCATTTCCAGAAGGAAGTCTCAGAGGGCGTGTGGGAGCTGTAGCAGGAGGGCCTGCAGGCAGCGTGCTCGTGCTCAGCGTGGTGGTCTCTGTACGCCAATGTCCATTGGGAGGGACTTTCTGTGGTGTTTCTCCATGTTGCTGCAAAGATAGGTCCTTAAGTTCAAGCTTGTCTACTCCTTCCTCCTTCTTGTTGTGCCGAGGTGACAAATTTAGTAGACTGAGGACATCTCTTTTGGATGTCATTGTTCCAGGGGCTCCCCGGAATATTTTCATTGGTCCTGTGGAATGCTGGGGTGTGCTCTGCCAGAACATCTTCAGGTTGTGGACAGCCTGCACCTTTTCATCAATGGCTGCCATTTTCAGTTTGTCTATGTCTGGGGCATCAGCTGGACTTGAGCGAGCAGAACCAGCTGAGGAGTAGGAAAGAGCTGGGGATGGTGCGCTGCCAGCAGGGGACTGATGGCCTGAGCTTGGGGACATGTTCCTTGGTGACTTGGAAATGTGAGCACTGTAGGGAGAACTGGGATACTTCAGTTTAAAGAGTGGCTGGTCAGTCAGGGAAGTCTGGGAGTCGGAGCCAGGTGACGGCCGGCCACTGTGCTGGCTGGGGCTGTCTTTCACAGATGCTTCTGAGGTGGTTGGGCTGCTGTATCCTGAACTCACCTTGGGTAGGGATGAACTTCTGGCCGGGGGCTTTGGTTTAACAGTGACTGGTGATGGCTGACTCTTCGGATGGGAAAGGGCAGGCCTACTGAATGCACTTGTTTCAGATGCTCTGAAGACGGCAGTACTGTTTGGCACAGAAATGCCATCTTCTGGGTTGTTATTCTTGCTGGTCTGACTGCCACCCCTCTGAAGACGTTCCACAGCAATGAGATGACTTTGTGTCTCTTCCAGAATTTTCTGGGCCAACTCTTGTGGGTCGAGCTTTGGATTGCTTTCTTCTTGCGACTTCACAGTACTATCTGTTTCTGTGCTAGACTGGTCTGACTCTCCTGTATCTGAACTTGCTAGTTTTCCAACTTTTTGGAAAGGTGAGTTCGGGCTAGGGATTAGAGTCATTTTAACTGGAGAATTGGGAGTGCTTATGCTCCCCTTAGAGCTTACTGATACTTTCACACCACCAGCTGTCCCACTCCGGGATGGTCTGTGATCTGGTGAGAAGCGCATTTTCCTGTTATCTTGGTAGGTTGCCAAAGGCTCAGTGCTGATGATGGAAAACCCTTCATATTCTTCTTCATCTTTGCTGCCTGCAGAGGGGGTGTGGGGAGACAGCTGGCTCCTAGGCAAGGTGGATCTCTGTGGGTAAGCATTCTTGGCCCTGTCATAATCCTGCCGTCCTCGGAGGCCCCCACCTTCTGACCCGCCCTCCGACTTGGAGACAAAGCTCATTGAGGACGCGATGGAGCTCAGGCTATACACAGAGATGGCATCTGAGGCGATGCTGTCAGCTCCCGTAGGAGAGAAGGGTGGGTGTTGGTAGCCCAAGGGCAGGGCATTGGAGACAGACTGGGCTGAGGCCAGAGACTCCAGGGAGGATGAGCTGTCAAGGCTGAGGCGCTTAGGCAGTTCAGTGGAATCTAAGAAAAGAACACAGAACGCAGGGGGCAGTTAGACTTCTATGTGGGTTTGATAATTTCTTTTTCAAACTCAGGAGCATCTTTACATTGCATATTAGCTAGCAAATAATTATGCACTACTTGAGTTAATCTTGCAACCCTGAAAAACATGGCCTTATAAGAAAAAGTAGTAAATCTTATGAGAACAAAATAGCTTGGGAGAGGTGACACCCCCACATTTCAGACCCAAAGCATGCCTGTCTCTCCTCTGGTTCTTATAGCACAGGATCCTACACCTGCCTCCTGTTTTTGACTGAAACTGCTTGGCAATCTTTGCTGTCCCCTGTCCTGATCCCAGACCACCATTCATTTCCACCGCAGGACCAGTCATTCCACATGCCAGCAACCTTCCTGTAAGTAATCTGCAGTTGTTCTCGATACTGCCTCTCCTCCCAGCTTCTTAGTCCAGTCCATGTCGGCTTTTGACTGCTCAGTCTGCACAGTGGACATTATCCTCACCCTTTCAGACCTGAATGTACATTCATATCTCCATCTGGCCTCTCCTTGAGCTCCAGACACATATAACCAGCTGACCTGTGTGGGTATCTAGTGAACATTTCAGAACTGCACATGTCCAAGGATGGAATTCAAACCCATTCGTGCCACTTTCAAGATCTCAGTGGAAGGCAGTCTTATTCTGGCAATTGTTCCCAAAAGTAGGGTATCCTCTTTAACTCTTTCTTTCTGATGTACATTCTTCAGCAGATCTTATTAGTTCTTGACCACCCTGAGACAGCATTTTGTCTTCACACTGCAGCCAGAGAACATCAGGCAGGTGTGCCTCCAGGCCCATGGGATCTGGATACCACTCCCCCTCTGCTATCCCCCTCTCACTTTCTAGTGTCTCACTCTGTGTGTTTCATAGAACTTGGTTGGCAGCACTCATCTAACATCCTAGGTATTTTTAATGGTCTCCTTTGCAGGGAGTTTTGTTTACTGCTCTTGAACACACACACACAAACACATGTTGATTCACATTTCCCCTGCATCCAAACACAGCCAAGTGTGTTGGCACACAACCACAGGAGGTACCCAAAGAGAGCAGCTCTTACCAAAGAGAGCGAGCAGGGACTGAAGTGCAAAGTGCATGGTTCGTCTGTTGGCTTGTTTCCCAGTTTTCAGTATTACTTCTTCCTGACCAACCTCACAGAGATCAAAACCTGGAGGAACAAAGAATATCAACATCTGCTCCTTAGAAAAAATTTCATAGTCCAGAAAATAGGAGTTTTGGTCCCCTGCAGCCTTGTGGAATTCCAACAGGCCAGTCAGCAAGCTCCCTGCTCGGGCTTCCCCAGGCATGTGCGACAGTCAAGTGGACAGATGCTGTCCCACTCCCTCGCCCTAACACATGCTCAGTCCATCTTTCCATTTCCTGTGTGTAGCCAGCCCTCTCAGTTGGCTCCCTCTGTCCCTTTGAAGGGTACCAGCTGCTTTCCTTCCCTGGACTTGAGAGCCAGAAGTTAGTAAGGCTCATTAACATATTGTCCCCCCCCCCCACTCTTTCACAGAATAGTTTACTTCAAGAAGACTGCCTGGGACAAAAGCTGCCCACTCCACTCAGCCCCCAGGCAAGTGCTTGAAGCATGATGCAGAAGACGGTGTCTCCTCAAGGGCTGAGACAAGATCTTCATGCAGGTCAGCATATGCCATGGAGGGCTCTGAAGTGTGCTTTCCCCAACCATGGGGAATCTACATTCTCAGCCAAACTTCCCTCCAGGGAATCTACTCTGCCAAGCCGAAGGAGCTACTCCCCAAGTTTAGGAGTTCTAATAAGACACGAGCCTCCTGAGCAAGATGCTGGTCAATTAGCTGTTGACACAACTCTTATCTGTATTAAGAGATGCTGCAGAGGTGTCAGACACCTCTCCCAGGGTAGAGCACAGGAGAGAGAAGCAAACACAGGTGCAGTGGCCACTGCGCCACAGGTGGACACTATCAAGCAATAATCAAGGGAGTTAAGAATTTTCAGCCAGAAAGTCTTTGTGATGCCTCCTCAGCACATCACTGAACTCTGATACAGTGCAGATGCTGGTGCTAAAGGCCCAAGGGACAAGCACCCGTGACACCAGTCCTTTTCCCCCTACAACCTTCAGCTCCCAGGTCTCCTTAATGCGCAGCGCTTCCCCTCCAGTGTGCTGTAGTCACAAACAATGGAGTGTTCGCCAAAGGAGTCTGGCCAGTCATTGGCAACTATCATTCACTTTGGGAATTAGGTTCATTTGAAAAGCCACTCAGGCCTCTAGTGGCTATGGCACATTTCAGTCCATTTGAACTTTGAGGCATTCCTGATGCTTTCAGAAGTGACTATTTTCAAAGACTCAGAGCTTAAAAGCAAATCCATAATGTAATGTTTGTTAGGTATTCCTACACTTTACCAAAATGATCTGGTTGTTCCAGTAGAACTGAAACCTAAGTAAAGAACAGCCGGTGAAATGGTTAATGATGTATGCTGGACTGGGGTGCTTCTCGGATCCTTGGGGCCCTTGGAGTGAACTGATCTCTCCAACTTCAGCCCAAAGGATTTAAAAATTATAAATATGTGCACACCAACTCACTCCCTTGAGTATCAGTGTAATTTGGAAAGTACAGAGAAAAGGAACATCAGTGAAAATCATCTACAATCCTGACACCAGAGACTGCCAGTGTTACAATTTCAGGCTTTCCTAAAAATAAATGAAGTCAGCCAGAAGCAGAGGCAGTTTCTGGGAAAGGTCATCTACAATACTGAATATACAGACTTCACAAGTAGAATTCTTTTTTTCACGGACTCCCTGCCAGGTCTGAAGACTACTCCCTGTAAATAGAGAAGTCAGGCCATGTCTTCCTGTAATGATTCCCCACTCCCTGTGGTTAAAAGCCAAAGGCCTTTCCCTTCTCAAGGCCTACAGGACCTGCTCTGCTCAGGCCCTGTGCATGGGCCCCTCACTCATGCTCATAGACTGCTGTTCCCTCTGCCTGGATTTTTCATCCTGAAAATATGCACTCTTGGCCTTCCCTTGCTCCCTGTTCCTCCTCCAGCCAGTCTTAAGAACCTGTGTATTTTATCTATATCTGTGCTCCCTTAGCTTCTTCCAAGGTGCTTCTCTTGGATCAGGTATTTACTGGAACGAGAACTCTAGGAGGGCTGGGCTTTTTGTCCTTTGCTAGCTGACATCAATAACAAACTGTGGAGTGAATGACTCCCAAGCAGGTCACGTAGTCTTAAGTAGGGTGGCAGCCTGTTGTGTTGTTTTATTAACAGGTGCACCTGGGATAAGTATGTAGCAGTAATGTCGGGAGCTGCCCCAGCCACATACAGTGTTGAAAAAGGAAAAACGTGTTCTGGATTGAATACAGATCCTGGTATGTGAGTTCTAGGTGTTCATGCTCAACTTAAAGGTGGTTTCAAAAGTATATTTTTTTCTGCCAGTTTCCAGTAGCCAATGATTGAAAACTTCATTTTGTGGCTGTCTCTTTAAATCACGGTTTGAATACCAATACTTAGCATACTCTTATTCAGATGACAAGTACAAATGAGAAATGAATTCATAATATAGAGGAAATGGGTTAAATCTAGGCAGCCATTTGGGATTTTTGCTAAAGCACTAGAATCTGAGTTAAGATACCGTTACATAATTATCTAAGAACACAGCAATAAGACCCCCAAAATCTACCAACGTTACCCAACGGAAACCAGGAGATAAACAGATGTTTTTAAAATTGGAGCCAAAGAAACCAGGTCAGTTAATGATATTCTGGCCTACCTAGAGCTGCCAGGAACTCATGACATCCTGGAAGTCGCCACAGCTGGACACTGATGGAAACCTGAATGGGAGCTGATGCAAAATCCTGCTCCTTCTCTCCAGCCTGCAGCTGAACCAGCACCTGGTGGAGCTGAGTAAGGGAGCACAGGTGAATTCTTGCTCTTTCCCAACATCTCTCCCTGTGACCCACCTCAGATTTCTCCCCAAATTATCCTCGTGTTGCCTGCTATCACTTCTATTGAATATCACCTGCCACGTGTGCACCATTTGGAATTCTTTTCACAGGCCCTTCAGCCTGCTGTCCTGTTTTCTCTGTGGGCTGTGCATGGGGCAGTGGGTCAAGAGACCAGATGCTGTGTTGCAGGCCACGGGTTGCAGTCAGGGTTTTCTGCTTCCTGCCTCCCATCTTTCCTTGTGCACAAGAGGGACGAAGCAGGGTGGATTACAGAGCTGGTCACCTTTTTTTTTTTTTTTAATTAAAGTTATCTGTATGAACTTGAAGTAAATGGAAAAGAGTAACCCAGCATTATATCGTAGTCTCGGCACTTGAGGAAGAGCCCACATAATCTGCTCAAGTGCCGTGGTGGTTCAGATTCCTGAGTCTATGGACCCTTCTCAGGTGTCTCGCCTGGGTTCAGCAAGTCACTTAAAAAGTCACTTTTGCTCATTCTGTTCTGGTGGAACTTCAGAGGTCAAATGAAGAACACAAGAAGGCTGGAGCAGGAAAAGGGGAGTCAGAGCAGAGGAAGGGGAAAGCCTGTCTGCACCTGGTCCCCCCCAGCCCAGAGCACGTGTCGGCATGCGCAAGCTCCGAGAAGTAGCCTGGGTGCACTGAGCTCAGAGCTGCCAAAGGGATAAAGGGTGGGTGGTGGGGCTCACCTGACAGTTGTTACTTAAAGTAGTACTCACCATTCCAACCATATTTTTAACAGCCTTCGCCAGCAGATTATAAGAAAAAGAGAGAAAGAAGAGTTTAGACTCAAGCATAGGTGGTTATGCAACACGAGGCGATCATTGCTTTAGGAAGCGCCATACCAGGCCCACAGCTCTGACCGGGATGGGAGAGGAGCAAGAGTCAGCAGGGACACAAGAAAACGAATGACCAGCTGCACGTAGGTCTGGGTCAGCCAGGCCCTGCCCTTCTTGATCAGGAGTGGAGCAGGCCGGGGTGGGAGGGAGCGGGGAGGGTGTCACAGCGGGGCATATGTGGACTACTCTGTAAAGCAAAGTCCAGATTTGAAGGTCACTCAGGAAACGTCCCTGAGCCACTTGGGGCAGATAACCCAGGACACTTTGCTGGGATCCTGCACTGTCTCAGGTGGAAAGCCCCCAGTATGCACCAAAAGCAGAAAATTTAGCAACTGGCTTGTTGGACTCTCAGCTTTGACCTACAGATACTCTAGCTTTTTCCTTTGCAGAGTATTGGCTTTATTCCTTCCAATTCAGAGTATTCTGATATGCAGTGTTCTGGAAGTCTCATCCTGATTCTATTCAGCAAGCAGCTATATAATATGCGTAGTACAAAAAAATGCAGGGAATGTAATGAAGGGCCTGATCATTGATCTGTGTTCTCAAAACACTCTATTCCTGTGTTCCGACTTTACACTAGACACAAGCCCAAGTCAGGATGGTTTTTCAGAGGTTACTCCTAGATGAGCAAATTTCCATCAGAAATTTTTCTCCTTAAATCTGCTGATAAAGCTCTCAAAGATGCATATGATTTTTTCAAATTATTACACTCCAGGGTGACCAGAGAAGTCATGCTGTGCTGTACCATTCCATCCAGAAACCTAGCCAGCTGGACCATCAGAAACTCAGGACAAGCTAGGAAGGACATTATGCCAAGAGTGCGAATTCTCCAAATTCGATCTACATAATCCTAAAAGAAAGCATGTTTTAAAAACTGCTATAAGGTATATTTTGAACTTGTGTTCACTTCACTGCCTCTGTGCCCATTACGGGCACAGTGCAGACTTGGAGAGTAAATATTCAATACTCAGGCAGGCTGGTCCTGCACCTCCTGGCTTAGGGAAGTCGGCCGTGACACTTGTCAGTCAGCCAAAAAAGTTAGCAGGTGGGTGTGGCGGGGCCATTAGGTGTGCTCTGCAGATCCCCAATGCTCCCAGGACTCAATTAAGACAGTTCTCTTACTTCCAGCCTTCACCTGTCCTCACCCTTAAAGCTGGGAAGAGCAGCAAGATTGATGGCATGACTTGCAGGTTCCTAGTCTGTCTTTCCAGCTAGGTTCAACCCTCAGGCCTGGGCTCAGCTACCCTGCTCCAGCTACTCTGGTCACTCACCCGGCTGATGAGTTGCTCGCCTGTTTCCGAGGCAGTGATGAGTTTGCAGAGGGCCTGAAGGGCAGGATTGGGCAGACCTAAACCAGAAAGGAGACAGGGATTATATCCATCAGGGCCCTGCACTGACCATCTTGCTTCCTTCCCAGTAGAAAACACCCAAAATGCTCAGCAGTGGTAGCATTTTCCCAAAGTTTGGGATAGCCAGACATGTATCCGTGCCTGACATGGAAAAGGTGAAAGCAGCTCCTGAGAAAGGTAGGTGGATACAGGGGCCAGTCCTGATGCTGCAGGCCACATTCACAGGACCCGGTCTGGGGCTCAGGCAGCATCACCTTCTCAGGTGACATGCAGAGGGCCTCAACCTGGGGTTGACCGCACAGCTCTGCCCTATCCACAGCTGCTAATTAAATACTAAGGGCAGCTACTGTTTGCCCAGCATTTGTGGCACCCTGCTGGGTAGAGGATGCTTGCTGTTACCAGTGGGAAGATCCGGTTATGGGCACTAGTTTTCCTCTAGGTCAGGAGAAGCAGGGGCTTCTGGCCCTGGCCACTCCTAGGATACTCCTGTGTCTTTCTCTCTCTGAGCTCAGCATCCCTGTGAATGCAGAGACCTGGGCCACCAAGGCTTACCCAGCAGGGCCTGGATGGTGTTGCTGCACTGTTGGAGCCGGTCTCCTGGGTCGGATGTTGGGAAGAAGACAGCTGCTGGCAGTCCACTGGCTGGGGGGTCTAGCCGGAAGCCCACTGCGGTGAGGAGGGCCTGCCAGCCAGGGATGCCACCCACTTTGTTCTCCACACTCTGCTGGGATGTGTACATGGCATTTCTCTGTCCATTCTGGATGCGCTGCAGGGACTTCTCCACCTGGAAGGGGAAGGGATGGAGGTGCTATTCTGCTCAAAGTTCAGTCCAGATTTCTCTGGCTTTGGGATACAAAGGCCCAGGTGCTGAACTTTCTGCTGCTACATAGGCCTGGAGACTATGGCACTGCTTGCTTCTTGCAAAGGGCAAGGTTTTAGTCATGACAGCGTAGACTGTGGTATGTCTTAGAAGAATTCTGTCCCTTCCCTCACCGTCTGTTCAGGCGCTTCACAGACACTAAAGTGACTTGTCTAAAAACCAGTCTCAGAGGACGGCCCCAAAATACATGCTGGCTGCCCAGCACTGGGATGAGCCCTCAGACCCCACACGCCCAGCACTGCCCTCTTCCTTGCACCTCCCGCTCACTTACCGTCCTCCCACCTCTCACTCACTCACCCTCCTCCCTCTTCCCTCAGTGTGCCTCCTGCCTTCCAGGACCCAAACTGGTGCCTGGCCCATGAGGGCTGAATCCCCCCAGGACTGCTGCAACACCCCTCCCTGGTGAGCATCCACAATGCCCACAGCCCTGTAGCAGGCCTTCCCCCACTCTCCTCTCTGGGTGGGTGGAAGAGGGACCCAAGAGGACACATGGGACTTCCTAGAAAAAAAAGCCTGGGCTACCCAAGGCTGACCTCACAGGCAGGAGAAATGGAAGTCCAGCGCAGGGTGGACACCTAGGCAGCTGGCTGCCTGCTGGACTGGAAGGGCCCTAGGGACACTTGCCAAGAAGGAAGGGAAACCCTTAAATATGCCTGAGGTGCCTATGGTCAAATGAGGCACAGTTGAGAGGCCTGGCCTCAGAGAAGAAAGCCAAGTGGGTAGAGAGGGCAGCTCTAAGTGAGGGCTGCAGCAAGGTAGATGACTTTGGGGTGACAGGAACCCAAGGAGGCCCTAGTGCTTAAGCAACTTAAAGGCTCTGTGCAGTCAAGTCAAAATTGAAGACTGTCTCCACAGACTCTCACTGCACACGCGCACACCTGTCCAGTAGTGAGCGGTGTGAGCCCCTTCTCTGGCCTGAGGGAGGGCGGCTTGCTGGTTACAGCATTCCTCCTGTCATACTCTGATTTCTTTCAGGCTTGAGGAACGCTTCAGGCATTCCCTAAACTTTGCAAATGTGCACAACAGGTGAATCGCCAAGAGTGAACTGAGAGTGCTACGGGGACATGCGCGGCTGTTGACCTTGGCTTTGGCTAGAGCTTGGGTGTGTCAGGGTCTGCCCAGGCTGGGACAGACTGCTCTTTACAGGACAGAATTCCAAGGAGCTAAAGATGCTAAATTATTTGAAACTGCCTTCCAGGTTATCAAGGTAAAATTTTATAGCAGTTGCTTGACTTGCACTTCTGAATTTAGGGGCAGGCTTGCTTTTTTCATTATAAAATAGCTACTGTGTGCCAGCTGTTCACTTGTCTCTGCTGCTCATAACCTTGGAAAGTTTGTTTTCTTTCCCCTTTCCATGTGATGAACAGGGACCCAGAAAGCTGTGGTGACATGCGCAAAGCCTCGTTGAGGGCATTGCCCTCAGCTGTGCCTGCCCCCTCTCCTACCCCTAGAGTTGTGGTGAGGACTCTCTACCATCTCACAGGCATCCACCACTCAGACCAGCTGGCTCAAACCGTGGACACGTCAACTTGCTCACACCCCTATAGCTAACCCTGCCTTCCGCGACATCTCCTGGCAGCTTGCTCTGCAGGCAGCCTGGGTGCTGGGCATCCTTAACCCCTTACCAGGTGCAGCAGCACTCGCAGGGCATCTCGTGCGCGCTCTGGGTGCTGCAGGATCTCTGTGAGGGCCTGGCCGATGAGTGACGAGGGGCTGTTCAGCTTAACATCGCTCCCGATGAGCATAAACCCTGTGGAGAGCAAAAGAGGGGCACCTGAGACTTCACCTCACCTTCACCTCAGCCATTCGGCAGGGAGACCCCCTGACCCAGTCAACTTTCAGCCCTGGCTACTGCTCACCTTAGGCCTCACAGTTACCAGCCACTGAGAAAGGAGCACGTGGGATTGCTGCTCTCTGCAGGCTGGCGTGAGATACCCGTCTCACTAGAGGGCTGTTTTTGGCAAAAAGGCAGCCTCTGTCCCTTCTGTAAAGAGTCACTGTTAATGGCTCAGGAAGAGGGTGGGGTGCGGTAAGCGGCTCAGGTGGTGCCTTTGCTTTCCTGCAGCTCCATGAGCAGGGGTGGTAAAAGGCTGTGTGGCCCTAATACGGATGGCGGCTTCCTGACCTGATGGCCACCTGTTTCCCTGAAATACACTGTCTGTCTGGAATGTTCCCAAGAATGGAGGGGCAGGTGTGTTCCATTCTGACCCAAGCCACCAGACTAGGTGGTCAGGAAGGGATAGTCCTCCCGTTACAAACTGGGCTGGGCAAGATCCGCACCCTCACCTGGATCCTCCCCATGCACATGTTACTCCCTTGCCAGCACCTCCTATACACAAGGCCCAGGAGGCACCGAAGGGATGTCAAGCCACCAAGCAACTGTAGGGATGCCCTGGGCACCAGTAGTGATATGAGTTTTCCAAGAGTGAAGGAGACAAGGCTGCATTTAAGGATGAGATGGCAGCGTAAAGTCTTTTCCACCAGGACAAAGATGTAACTTTGATATTGTCACTCAAAACTAAAGGGGCCCTTCCCAGTGGCGCAGCAGGTTAAAGTACAGTGTTCTTAGGCTAAGACTACTTCAGCACGAGTTCAATCCCCGCCCTGGAGATGACCCACATGGCGCAGCAGACCTCTCCTGACCCGCCAGCTGCTCCCCTCAGCAGTGTGCTTCATTAGTCGGCCTGTTCTGCTCCCACTCTGTCTCTGGTGAAGCCTCTCACCACCCCTGCATCTCTGGCCTGTACCCCAGTTCTGTATGCATAAATAATTCTAAAAAAAAAAAAAAATACAAAAAAAACTAAACAAGGGCAAAATACCACTCTCTTAAGTACCATGGGGAGGGAAGGGGATCTGACCAGAGGGCTCGTAGCAAGACACAGGTCAGAGCCCCACAAACCCTGTGGTATTTTCTGTGGTACTGTGTAGGGCGCTCCGATTGCCAGGAGAGTGCACACACTGTGTGTGACGTGTTCTGAGAATAATCACAGACAACTCTGGTACAGCCTCTGATTTCTGCATCAGGGAGCAGAAGTGTTTCAAAGACAGGCCAAACCCTCAGGGCTGACAGGAGTTCTGCCTGCCTCACGGATTGGGAGGACAGTTGTGAGAGGAGCATCGCCAAAAATGGGCCTTTCCTACCAACTGAATGACCCTCTTCAGCCACAGGACACAATTTAGGGCATCTATGCTGTGGTTACAGCACTGGTGGGCCTTTCCTTTCTCTGGCAGACCTGGGAGTGAAGGGGCCAGACCAGAGGGCCCTGAGTCATGCTGGCAATAGGAGACCTGCAGGATGGAGGTCACCACCTCACCGTCTGTCCCTACACACCCAGATCCCTGCGTCCTCTTGGCCAGCCCACTTACTTGTACTGCTGGTCTTGCAGAATATGTGGTGCCACGTACCTGTGGTGCCATGTGAACCTTCTCACAGATCCTCTTGAATGTGGACAGTGGTGTCAGCACTGCCGCCATCATCTCATCAACACTGAGGCTGCTGCACCTCCAAGGCAGCCTCTCTGAGGTCACAGCCTGGCCACTGGCGTCAGAACAAACCCCCGTCTTGTAATGGACCAATCTAAGATCTTTCTACAATGCCTCCCTTTTCTAAAGTCAGGAGAGGCTACTTGAGGGTGCCATAAATTGGTCCTCCAGAAGGACTAACATCAGAAGTAATTTTACATTCACACTGACAGCAAAATGTTCTGCTACTCCTGGTCGGAAAGACTTATTTCAGATTAGAAGACACTAGGCTCTCAACCTGCTTTTCCTGGGGCTGCCTTTCCCTAATGCTTACCCCCACAGCCCACTGATGGAGCACCAGCTGGGGCCCAGGCTCCTACCTGCCCAGTTGGAGGGATGTGAGAAGGCCTTGCTGCTCTGTACCACCTTCATGGCCTCCCCGAGTGCAGCGCTGGCTTTCAGGCCATTCAGCAGGGATGAGTAGAAGGCGTGGATAAACATCTTGGAAGCAGCTACTGGCATCGGCCACAGAGACACAAGGACACACTGTGCTCCCGCAGCCAGGAAGGCCCGTGTCAACGCAACGACTCCGTCGGCTGTGACTTTGCTGTTAGACTCTTGAGAGGAGCCGAGCACCACCAGCTTCACCGGCAGCCGCAAGTCCAGGACATCAGCCGCCGTAAGCAGCAGCTCCTGCAGCGGTGGGCAGTCAGAGATGCTCTCTCCATCACTGGCGTCATCCTGCACCCGGAGGGACTCTGGGATTGTGTAGGGGTGGCCGAAAGAGCTCTTGCTGCTGGCTGGGTTGCCATCCATGCAGGGCGTGAGGACCAAGGCTGACAGTTTCCAAGAGATGTGGGTAGCGAAGTGAACACACTCAGCCTGGGTGAGGGCACTCATGACCCTCTCTTTGGTGGCTACGCTGCCTACCAGGGGCTGGCAACCCAGCAGCTCTGACACCATGTAGGCTTCCTCCTCCGCCGACGGCATCGGCCCCCACAGCCACCTGTCCATCACTGCTGACGGGAGCTTGGGATTGCCAATGACCGCTGCCATGGATGTGGAGCTGGAGTACACAGACACGTTCTTCCTCAGAAGAGACTAGAACAGGAGAATAGACAAGCAGACCACCTGTCAGACATGGCCAGGCCTCCCACCAGTGGTTCTCAGAAGCACAGGGCTAGCCATGCCAGCCAGGGCTGGGTCTAGTTTGGCTCCTGTTCTCCCAGTAACCTTGTGACCTAATACTCATCACCCACTGACACAATGGGCATCTTAATAAGAAGTGCTGTGACAAGCTCTTGAAAATAATCAGGAATGGATGGTAGGAAGGGCCCTTCCTGTTTCTCAGGCCCCAGGAGGCTGGGGGGAGGAGGCAAGAAGCTGTGCTTCCTTCACTTCAAACTGATTCTGTTTTAACAACAAATAGTTTTAAATTGTCCCAAATCCTGTAAGGCAGAAACTGACATTGCTGTATAGGCCAAGGTCAGTGGGCAAGAACACTAAGGCAGGTCCTGTGAACTAAGCTAGTGACACTTTGTTATACATGAGGAGGCCCATCTGAGCCCCAGCTGCAGGTTGGAGGGGCTCTGAGAGCAGCTTGCAGTTTGAAGACAGAGCAGTTCAGAGCAGCTGGGAATGCACCAGTGAAGACTGGGTGGGGAGGTGGTCAGAAGAAAGCAGGTGTCTGGGCCCTGGAGGGCATCTGGAGAAGGACACAAGGAGGATCTGGAGCTGACTTGAAGATTTTCTAGCCAGGTAGGTGGGGCTAGCACTGGCTGGGGGTGAGCCAGGTGGCCCTGGAGTGCCCACTATACCCTCTTGTTCAGACAAATCTTCCCATATGGCTTTTTCTTGCTCTGTGAGACCCAAGTCCCCTATCTCTCCCCTGAAGGGGGACCTTACTTGTTTTCAGTTCTTCCACTGGCCTACAGGATTCATTTCTCTTTGACACTATTCTTATTTGTCTGCCCTTCTGTTGGGCAACACTTGGTAAACGAGGGAGACATGAGGTGTCGTTGGGTGGCAGGACACTGGAGTCAAGCATGATGGGTCACCAGCTTCCTTCAGACTAACCGTAGTGCCTACAAGTGGCTCACAACCATGATGTCACCCATCATGACGCCCTGAAGTCTCCTACTCAGCTGCATCCACACGTTGAAGGGACCACATTTCTGCCCCTGAGGGACACAGCTTGAGAGCAAGGCTCCCACGTGAGCCGTGCAGCTTACCTTGGACTGCGGACTGAGGGAGCGAATGGAAGGAACAGCGATGAGGGCAAAGCGCTCATAGAGATACTCATTGGAAGAGCTTCCCTTCAGGAGGGCAAAAGGGATGAGGTAGAGCTCCCCCTCCAGAACCAGGATCAGCTGCCGGTGCCGGCCAACAGGGCCGCTGGAGTGCATAAGGCCCTGTGGAGCAAACAGAGAGAGGGTGACATGGGACCAACAAGACAGGCCATTCCTGAGCAACCACTAAACTCAGCATAGAAGGGAGCCCACAGGCCCAAGATGTATACACAGGGAGTGCTACAGACAGGGTGGAGTGCTGCCTTTGGGAATCTCGCCAAGGCGTCCACCTGCCTTCACAGGCCCCAAGGAGGTTGTCAGAGGACAGTCTTGCAGTCAGCAGGGCAGGACATTGGAGTCAACAGTCATGGAAGGGGTGCCCACAAAGGTGAGAATAGGCCAAAGTGGACCAGTGTGCTTCTGTAGGGGCAGAGAATTAAGGAAAAGGGCAGTGGTCTCAGAAAGAACTTTGCAAGATAGTGTTTCCCAAAGGACCAGGGCAGGGGTGCTGGACTGCCGCAGGCCCCTGAGTAGGAATCACCGCTTCGGCACCGGGCCAGAGAGGGCGTTGTCCATTTTGATGAACTAGAGGCTAGAAAACCAGAGACGGTGGAAGGTTCAGGAACTGGAGTGAGACCCCCTTGGGAAAGGTTCCAGATCGGAGAACCCTCTGTGATCACTCCCCCTCCCCCTGCCTCTGTGTTCCAACTCTGGGGAGAGAATAGTCACCCCCACTCTGCTGGTTCTGTTTCCACTCGTTCCCCTGAGGTCATTGGGGACCTAACAGTGATGTGATTCCCACTCGCCTGAAAGGCCTGGCATGAGGGCCTGAGGGAGATTGGTGTAGAACCAGCCTGTTCTGGATCATTAATGGAGATTAAGGCCATACGAATCTCGATCAGTAAGCAGGCAAGGATTATGTAAATGCTTATAGACAAAGCTGGATGTGAATAAAGACAAGAAGCGTTGCTGCTGGCCCATAAGAAGACCATGCCCTGAGCACAAGGCTGACCCCAGCTGCCCAGAGCCTCCCAGGACCGAAGGCCTGCGTCAGACTGCTGTTCCCACTGCCCAGGGCTCTGGCCCAGCACTGCACCTCAGGTGGTGCCGGCTCTACAGGAGAGTCACAGTTGGGCTCCCCTTGCCTCACCCCATCTGTGGAAAAGTCAAGTGCCCTCCAGGGAGCAAATGTGCATGTTCATCTGTCTGACTACTGCTGTGGGCTCTGGCTGAGGGTGGCAGAATCTACTCTGCTAACCCAAAGTGACATGTGCCTGGCAGCAAGTTGAGTCTGCACAACCCCCTATGGCTATTTTTTCTATTTTGAAATTCTAGCTACATCTAAAGAAAGCAGAGATGTAAATTATTAGGCCACTTTGCTGCTTGTTTAAGAGCTATTTTCCAGGAAAGTTTAAAGAACTGCTGTACAACCCAGGAAGGCAGAAGTGGGTGTCACTGCCACCTCAGTGCTGTCCATAAGCTGCTGGGTTAGTGCAGGGACTAGGGCTTGGTATAGCCCTGCCCCTCCAGTATGGGTTCCTGGATCTGTGTCCCTGCCACGGGCCATACCTGAAGCCCCTGCCTGGCCCACAGGTGGAGGTGGCCATGAGAGCCCCTATGAAGGGCAGTGCCATGCACTGCTGCAGTGTGCCAAAGTGGCTGAGCTCATGGTATCCCAACCTTGGTGACGGAGGCAACTCTGGTGCTGACCACTGCTCAGAGGTTAGAGAGAGCCTAGCTGTCCGACTGCAGGCACAGTCTAGTCAGGCGCTGTCAGGTGTCATCCTACAGGTTGCCACTTCACTAAGACAGGGCAGTCCCAGACAAGCCCTGGCCACAACAGCACCTCCAGTGTTGCCAAGGCAAGAAGCCACTTAGAGGAAACAGTCCCGGGCGGTGTCCAGAGGACCTCAGACCTCTGTATCTGACCCCAGGCTTAAAGGGTGGTGATTTCATGTCCTAAATGACAGCCTGGGCATCTGTGACAGGTGATTTCCGATCTCCATGAGGAGCAAGCATCTCACTCTTCCATACCAGCCTCGGCTTCTCCATCAGCCACTGCAGTGTCCCCCACAGGAAAGTCAAACACGTTTAGGACTCAGCTCCTGCTTAAATGCTTACAATGGAGACTCAGGACTATAAAGTGCCAAAAGGGGTCTCTGAGGCAGATTAAAAATGACATCACAGAAACCTAAAATGTCAATCCCAGAAAGGTGGGCAGGCCAGCCAGAGCAGACACACCCAGGGATGGCGAGCAAAGCCAGGGAGGCCTCGAGACCAGACGAGAACCGGAGCTCAAAGGAGAGTGTGGCCTCAGGCTGTAAGGACCTGCCCTATATTCTGGAGGAATACAGCTGAGGAGCCTCTGACAAAGCCTTCAGGGGCAGTCTGCGCCACTGGAGATGGAGCTGTGCACATGTCTAGAAGGGGACAAAGACGGTGAAGAAGAGTGATGGCAATGAGGAGGGAAAGTCTGAAACTCTAGCCCAGGAGATTGGAACTCTGGTCTGTGCATCCCAATGCTCTGGCCTGGGGGCCTCTTGGCACAGGACCTGCATCTGGTCCTGAGCCGCACGTAGCCCAGCCCTGGGCAAGGGTCCCAAATGGAACCCCTGTGTGAGCAGTTGAAAGGAGGGGGGTGACAGCAATACAGGCCAGTGGGCAAGCAGGTGGCCTGGCAGACTGACAGGTCCTGAAAAGGCAGTGTGGAGACTGAACAATACGGCAAAGATGCCTGGAAGCGTGTACTCCCAAGGGATGTGTACGCATCGCCCTAGTACTGAAGAGTGAGCTACATACCCGGTGTGAACTTGAAAACAGAAAATAAAGTGAGGTCTCTATCCACATTATATTGGGTGGGAAGGAGAGATGATTCCAGAAAATGCAACTGTGTGTCTCGGCAGGTCAGTCTTGGAGGGGTATTTGCGGACTTCTCAAGGTAAAATGGCTTTGAAAGATAAAACGGCTCCAAATCAGTCCTCTGCTGACAACTAGCAGAGCCCAACAAATTCTAGCAAAACTGAACTTTCACACCTAGGTTTTCTAGAAATGAACCTTCTGAAGTAGAACAAGACAGAGGCCAGGTACACTAAAATCCCTCCATTCCCCAGGAAGTTTCCCTTCGCTCTTACCAACAGGCTGTGGCCCTGCCCACTGGCAGCAGGTGCCCTGAGTCCAAACAGCAGGTGCCCTTAGGTAGCACTGTGGGCCGGGAGGGAGATGCCACACAGTGCACTGTGGGCTGCACACGGTTTGCCAACACCCATTAGCAGTGGGCTGATGTGGCTAAGGCCAGACTTGGCAGAGAAAGTTGTTTTAATGGACACTGGGAGGAGCTGTGGGCTGTTCATAGCCCAGTTCGAGGGTCTATCAACATCTGCTCTGCAACAGCTGGATTCCTGCAGCCAGGTAAGCACATGCTGAGCTGTCTCAAGGAGGGCACTGAGGCATTGCGGGGGGGGGGGGGGGGGGGGGGGCATGTGGGAGAACACTCAGGGGAGCCCAGAAGAGAGGCCCACACAGCCCAAGTGCTCTGCTGGCCTCCTGCCCCTGTGGGTACTTGCATGCCTAGCCATTAGCAGCAGACCATCACTCCCTCCTGCACTCGGGGGGACCTGTTTGCCCAGCAGCTCTAGACTAGCTCTATCATCCAGTGCACTGAGCCAGTGTTGGAAGTGTCCTGGGTACATGCCCTCAGCCTGAGAGGATCATGTATTGTATCTTGCTTCCTTTACCAGAGGATAAGTCAATTAGCCTTCCCTAGTTAACCTGCTCTGTGGTTTGTCTCCTGATTAGACCCAGACATTCTCATCTAGCGTGCTTGGAAGAGTAGGGAGCCTCGTCCAGTGACCAGGAAGGAAGGTGCGTTTTGAGGAGAGAAGTCTGCCGTTGGGTGTGGGCCCACCTGCTGCATCAGGGCTCTCAGGGACGCAGAGTAGCTGGACTGTGGGGCACATGGTAAGGGTTGGGATGGGAGTGGTTCTGAGTTCATGGACAAGATACCTCCGTCCTCTACCTCCATTTCCAAAGTACACAGTGGCCAAATATAACTTTGTACTGCCTTAGGTGCTTGAAACAAGTTGAACACTGGCACTATTATTTATACTACTCTCTTTCTCCTGTATAACTCATTCTCTCTTCTTATAGCATTTATAAACATTCACGGGGGCTAAAACATGCCCATAGTCTCTCCAGAACTCCAAATTTAACACAGAGACTGGCAGAAACCAATGTTAGCATTGTAACCATCCTCAGCTATTTACTGAGTCCACAACACCTGACACCTACACTCCACAATCACACAGTTATAATTTTCAGTGGTAGAGACAACTTATAAGTACTTGTCTTCACTTTTCCCTTATCCTAGCCACTTGTTAAAGACATACTTGCTGTCCTTGGGTGACACTTGTCCTCATTTTAATATTACCATAGATAATCAGAAGCCAGTCAGCCTGATGGTGGGCTGGCACCCCAATGCCAGTCCTACGAGTTTCATCCTCCACGCTCTGGAATCTAAGTCTGTTCATTTCTATATTTCTATGGACCAACATTTCCTGGCTATCCCCAAGATTAATCTATTCAGAAAACAGGTACCAGAGTGATACCTCATTTCCAGCTGCAGTTGTTTTAGTATAAGCATGCAGTATAAGCAAGGAGCCTTTACACGAGCCCAAGGGAATTCTTCCCTCTCCTCTGCCCCCAGCAGTAATTTAGGCCATGACCTCACGAAAGCCAAGCTTTCCTCTGGCTGAGCCTGTGCCTGAGTCAGATGTTGCCTCACATTCTCAGAGACATATCGTGAATTTCCAGAGTGCCAGTGTTTAGCAAGGCAGTTTACCAACCTAATATCAACAGCTTTAAGGAAGTTTCTGAGGTTCTAAAACAGATAACCCCACTTAAACAGGTAGTGTTATTAAGTGCAGAGGCGGGCAGGGAGTGCTGCTCTTCTTGATTGAGATCTTTTACTGTTACTGTATGTCCTATAACCTTGGTTTTTAAGACTAAGTCTAGGAAATGGGATAGAAGGAAAAAATGACTAGGATGTCAAGGACTATAATTAGAGTGAGCACAAACCTCAAAGATACTGAAAGACCCCCAAATCTGAACCTTTAAAGATGATTTGGCCAAATCCCAGAATATCCTCTTCTGAATTTGGCTGCTTGATTATGAGAGCTTCTGCTTGCGGATGAAGCCCTTTGTGTAAACTGGGATCAGTGTGGGGCATTGGTGACCTTGGGAGCTGCGTGGATGTAGTGTCACTAGGAGCAGCCAGCTAGGGCCTCATCAACATGTCTGCTATGGCCCTAGAGCATGTCTTTGGTGCATGGTTCTGGCGTCCTCATTGCAGGAGCTGTCCTTTCACCACAACTAGGGAGTCCTGCCCTTCACTCCGATGTGATTAAAAAATGATTGCCACAGGCACGAGGTCCTTTTCACACTGAACACTTATGTCTTCTCTCTGGTGACATTTTCTCCTTTGAGGTGCAGACAGGATTTGACTTACTGTTTGCTGATGGCTCATGGGCTGATTAACTGGGTCTTCCTTAAGAAAACTGGACATGCCTGCCCATCCTGATGGCAAAGGACAGCATGGTTTCGGGAAAGAGCCATGATAGTGTTTCCCTTAAGCCAAATTCAATCAAATACTGTCACAAGCCTCCAGAAAAACGGTATTCTGTTCACTTTTCAAACCATCTGACCTAGTACCTTCGCCACAGGACTACGGCTAAACAAAGGCAGTTTGTTCAAAGAATTATAAGCCCCATGTGAAGAGGCTAATAGCTTTAGTCTTGAAGTGTCAGTGATTCATAATCTTACACTTTCAATTTTGATTTGTATTTTCACTGAAACTGGGGAAGGGGCTGGCAGTGGGTGGCTGACAGCACCAGGTGCGGTGTCACGTCGCCCTCTGGCGGCTGCTGCGGGAGCAGGTGGCGCTCTTGCAGTGGGAACACTAAGACCCAGGCCAGTATCCCCTGGACCTCTCCAGCTACCAGCGGCCCATTGGATGGTGCAGACCTGCACCCCCAACCTTAGCATGGTCTGTGGCCAGTGCCCAGCTTCCAAGCCGGCTCCCCCGAGTTCAGGACGGGTGCCCAGCATATGTCAACAGCACACGTCAATACAAAGTCTTTGAATAAAAGATAAAACTGGGTCGGGATGGAGGAGAATCCTGATTTGATTCTAGCTTTGCAGTGAGGGCACTAAATATCTTTTTAAACTAAATGCCGCCCTTCAAGATTAGACTGCAACCCTGGAAGCAGGTGTACTGCCTGGGGGACTCTGTCCTATCTGCTCATCTGAGAACCGCTGAATGTAGAGGCTCCACAGCAGCCCAGGGGGCCCTATGCTCTCGGGGAGAGCTCTTCCTTCCTCAGAAAACTTCATAAAGGCATGATTTCCATCACTGTTCTGACTTGTTTAGGCCTGAGTCCATGAATCTTCCCTTTCCTTGCACCCCTGGAGGGACACAGCTGTCCAGACATGAGCTACCGCTAATCCAACCAGTGCACCTTTACTATTTAAGTCCCAGGGTAAAATCCTCAAGGGAAAAACAGTGCAGTTTTATAAACTTAGAATCTCTGCATGGAAACAACAGGATAGATGTGGGGGCCACCTCTCTTAGGGCTGCTCTTTGCCAAGAGGATTTCTGCAGGTGATACAGAAGCCCCCCTCACCACTGCCTTCCTCTGACTCAATGGGGAAGCATCAGCCAGCAAAATAAGGCTGGGGCCATCCCCCCAGCAGGTAGCTCTGCTGGATTCTGACTTACCCTGAAATAAGGCAGAAATCTGGCACCATGCAGGGCCACTGGATGCCAAGCACCTTGAAAGAAGCCCCATCCTTCCTGCTTAGAAATTTCCAGGTGACACAGAGTGGCCACAGAAAATCTACCAGCTGATTTCTGCCTGGGTCTTCTGCTGTCTGTACTAGACTAGACTAGAAAGCAAATGCAGCTCCGGGCCACATGCCATTCCATCAACTTCACTGAGTGCCAACACGCACAGCCCACACCACCTGCTGGAGGTGTGTGAAGATCAGAAGTCAGGGTGGGCAGCAAGAGCAGGAGAAGCATGCAGAGTCCAGTGATGTGTGGGTTACTGTGGAGGACATCTGGGCTGGTATGGAGAACACAGGAAGGGGAGTGCAGGGCTTCAGGAGAGGGCAAAGAAGGCGTCAAAGAGGAAGGGATATTGGAACTGGGAGGAAGAAAGTGGCTTGCCAGCTCCAGACACCTCAGCGTGCATGCTGGGTATGGTGGGGGCTGATGGTCAGTCTCCATCTTTGCTTCAGCTTCCCTGCCCTCCCACCATCTAATTCCACTCACGGTTCAAGTAATTGGGGGGACCTTAACGCAGAGTGACTGGGAAAGCCTGAGTGAGTGAAAGAATGGAGGGCGCCTTCATGGGAGTGGGATGGGTGGGAAACAGCCCAGGATGAGAGAAGAGAGCTGGGATTGAGTGATGGCTAATGGCAGTAAAGAAAACTTGAAAGCTCAGCCTAAGAAAGTGGATGTGTAGTTCTTCCCTGAGGTAGGGCACATAAACCAGGCCAGGTTATCACAGTACCTGAGTCCTCAGAAGGAGAGGACAGCTAAGGGCATCCGAGGCCAGGCTGGGCCAAGTACTGGCATGACCTATGGCCTGGAGAGCAGGAGGCTCACGGGTAGCACCTCTGACTTGGCTGAGACAGAAATCTGCCCTGCAGCTGCCGTGCCAGGTGCATGCCACCACCGGGTGCTGTTCTGACCCGGCACCTTGAGCAGCATTGTCATCATTTTCTAATGATGACAATGAGTATAGGCACTCAAGGAGGGAAAGCAGCTTGGCCAGTGTCATCCAGCCAGCAGAGGGCAGTGCCAGACTGAGTCCAGCTCTACCTGCTCCCCAGGGTTCTGCTTCCCACCACACCCCAGTCCAGAGGACACCAGCAAGTAGTGAGCCTCCTGAGAAATAAGGCATAATGTGGGAGACCAGCAGGGAAAGGCACAGGCATTTCCTGAGGAGGAAGGAATCCTGCCTGGCCCGTTGCCTGAGCTGCCGAGGAGTCACTCCACCAAACCAAGGGGAGGACACTCAGGCCAGCTGAGACAACTCTCTGAGGTGCCATCCTCCCCCGAAAGAGGGTCTCTGCATCTGTTGGACTTTCTTTCTAGAAGTCTGTCATGTCCCTCCAATTCCTGTGTTGAAGGGCTAACCCTTGGTAAGATGGCTGCTAGGGAACCCTGGAATGGAAATGGATTTAGAGAAGGCAGGAAGGTAGAGTCCCCACTATGGAATTAGTGCCCTTAAAGGAACAGAAAGAAACCAGAGTTAGCCTGCTCTCTGCCACAGGAGGACACAGCAAGACAGTGGCTGGCTGCCAGCCAGGAAGAGAATGAGGACCAAGAAACTGACTGTGGCAACCTGACCTGGGACTTCCCAAATGCACGAGAAATCACTGTTTTGTTTAAGTCACCCAGTTCATGGTATTTTGTTACAGCAGCTGAACTGAGCTGATAAGCAGTAGTGCACAAACTCCATTTGAATTCACAAAGACAAAGAACCTGAGCCCGTTAGTGTTTCCCAACCAGTTAGAGAGTCATGTCTGAACTGAAAAATGACATGTAAAGACCATGGCACCTGTCAGCACCACTCTCAGCCTTCTAGAGTAATTATAAGTCAAGGACATCTGATGTTAGACATGTGATGGTCAGCAATGCTGACAATGACAGAAGCAGCAGCAGAGTTCTCACCAGAAAGCAGGGCCCTGACCTGAAGTGACCTGGGCACTACCCTGGAATGAGAGGCGGCATGTGGGCAGTGCTCCCAGCAGGTGCGGCAGGGTCCCTGGGCTGGGTGTCTGCTCAGAGCCCACACTGCATGGTTCCTACTGACAGCTGCTGAGCTGTGCACAGCCCTGCACTGCACCTCCCCCAGCCAGATGAGCAGGCCAGCGAGCAGCACCACTATGTTTTGTAACTGATGTAACTGAGGCCAAATCTACCCAGCTTCTATGAAACAGAGCCTGGACTTAAACCTGCATCTTGGTACCTTAAAACTCAAGAACTCATTGTTACACAGTAATTGGCCAAGAATGCAAAAATCTATTTGGGTTTACAAATGCTGAATGAGAAGCTTCACTGTTGTCTCAGGAAGCCATTTTTGTAGCTGAGGGGTATGAGTGGGCTCTGAGTGGTAAGTGATATGTTCTGAGGCCAAGAAGCCTCAAGGCCCCAGGGGCAACTTACTCCTTCCATGGGTGCTATGAGCAGATCATACAGAGCACGGAGTGGGGGCCTGGCAAAGGAGCTCTGCCTCCTGGGAAGAGAGGAGGTCCCGTCCTTGATGGGCGACATGGTGTTGCTAACCAAGCTCGTCATGCTCTGGCAGCTCCTGGGGAAAGAAGGGCAGAGAGATTAACTGGGGCTCACACAGGGCAGGCAGGCCTCCGCCCTCCCTCCAGAGAGCTTCAGCGACTGGAACAGGCAGGTCGGAGGCTGTACAGCCATGCTGAGCCTGGCTTCCCTCCTGGCTTGGCCCCCGTCGCCTCCCTTTCAGGTAATTTTCACAGAACAGTGAGCACTGACAGAAACCGCAGGGTAAACCAGCTGCACACAACAGCTTACATTTCTATGGACTTTTTCTGCATAATCAAATGTCCCAAAGTGCTGTTCACAGGATTTAATTACATCCTTATGTGGAGCCATTGTGTAGACAAACGTGAGGAACATTAGAATCAGCAGCAACTATCAAACTGACAAGAGGATAGTAAGTACCCCAAAGCCAACTAACCTACCGAGTGGGAGGCTGAGCAGCAAGAACCATTGGTATTGGCCCTGACTTTGGCTCAGCTCAGCCACTGGACACTCAGCTGAGCCCCACCACGACACGAGGCCCTGAGGGCCCGGGAGCAGGTTGCTGGGAGTGGCTGACCAGGCCGGGACCTGCAGAGGGGTGGGCTGCAGGAAGGCACCACATGGCTTCATTTTGCTATTTCTGTCCCTAAGTTGGCAGCCAAGGTTTTGCCAGTTGGGGTGACAATTTCAACCCCAGGGCCACAAGCTGCATTTTCCCAACACAGGATGAGAACATTCAATGGTTGACTGATTTACTAAAAATGACGTCTGAGCACTGGCCACCTGCCTAGCCCTTAGGACCCAGGATCATCATACAGGTAAGCTCAAGAGTGGCAGACAGGAGAAGCCAATCTATTTCCCATTAGGCACCCAGACACCCCGAAAAGACCTAGAACACAGAGAGGCTCAGCACAGCCTCTGGTGACATTCTTTGCTCAGCCACTGGACAGTCAGGGCTCTCAACCTTGATTTAGGGTCTGCGCACAGTTTTGGAGCTTCTACTGTGTACGCAAGAGCCCTTAAGTGCAGAGACCAGGCACACCTCTGTACCTGAGGCAGCTCTTTGATTGTTAACTTAGAAAAAACTAGAAAGCTACTTTCCCTCCTGGACCAGACTAGGATCCATAACCACCAGAAGAAATGACTTGACAAATATGTTTGTTTCCCAGGTATGGTTTCTGGCCTTGACACTCCTCACTCTTTGTAGAGTTTGCAGCAATCAGTGTCTCACTTAACCTGAACTCTATGACATATCAAGGCAAAATGGACATCCTCAGCTCCCCACCCTGCTCCCTGAAGAACAGTGAGCAGACCTGAGAGCCTGCTCTCTCAGAAAGCACACAGTTACAGGGGCTGAGGCCCTGGCAAGTCTTTGGCAGCAGCCAGTGAAGTACAGATAGCCCTGGGTGCCGCTCAGGAGCTCACTTAATTCCACAGGGCAAAGAGTGCCTCCCTGGAGGATGCTGCCAAGGCTGCCCTGCAGTGCATGTGCTCACACACCCAGGCCTGTGTGTGCTCCTGTTCTCAGCAGACGGCGCAGTGCTGTGCCATAGAACCTGGCGTGTTCCACAAACCCCAAGGCTGTGACGTAAGAAAGGGACCCCAGCTCTAGAGCATCCCCAGGCACCTTGATGGGTGGCGTTTACCAACCCCAGCCAAAGATGTCCGACTGACTTCTCAGCTGAAGCTGGACAGGGGTCATGTGATCTTAGCTGCCCTGCAAGACCTAGTGCTGGAGACAAGCAGGACCATCCTCAAGTGTGCTCCTCTGATCACCCCAAGGAAGGAACTGCCAAGGCGGGAGTTTCCTGTTCAGGCAAGCCCAGTTGTTTAAACAGACGGTACCACTACCCAGTAGGCCCCATCTTCTCCCCACATCAGTCCCCAGCTCGCCCAACTCCCCAAGTCCCAACCCTTTGTCCACACGTCTCCACGCTTATTACGCCAGCCACCCCAGTTGTGTTGCTGTCCTTCTGAGGCTGTCCTCAGGCCGCCTCGTGCCCACCCCAGATAGGAAGCCCTCCCCTCGCTCTGCCTGGCTGGCAGTCGGCATCTTGTGCTCAGGGCCCCTTGACCTTTCCTAGAGCTGCTCCTTTTCCCATGCCTGGCCCTCACATCGTGGGCAACCACACGTGTGGACTGCTTCCTGGTGTTGGGTCCCTTTAGGTTCTTCTAGCATTTCATGGATTCAATTAAAAACAACAACAATCTAAAACCATAATTTGGGGTCAAAGTGAATCCATTCAAGACTTTTCTTATCCTGGGCAACAAGCACTTGTTGCAAGTGCCCCAAGCCCGAGGCAGCGGCCTTCACTGGTCCATCTCTGGGCCATGTGCACAGGCCTCTCTCCAGCAGCGTTGAGGTGGAAGCTGCCGGCTGCTTTCCCGAGCAGGCAGCCTCCTCACTGTAGTCTGCCTCAGCAACAGTAGCAAGTGACTGGTCCCTGTCAGCGAGCTGTCCCTGGAAGGACAAGCTCAAGGACTGAACAGGAGGGCATGAAGCCTGGGCCAAGAGTGACTGAGGGCCAGGAACCCTTCTGAGGTGCAGGCTGGGGGATGGTCTTGGGCTGGGACCCTCCTGGCCACAGTGAAGCGTGGGCCAGCAGAGTGCATCCCTCCAGGACCATTTGGGGCTACTACTGCCTTGTGCAGACTGTGGACAACAAGTTCCCCTTCATGTGTCTCTTCTGCTTTTACTACATCTACAGTGACCTACTATAGCTATTTTATTGGGGTACATTTGCCTAGCCAGCTGCTTAAAGGTATAGTCAGTAGTTCAAAATACCAGGCAGTCTTTATTCACAAGTCTGGGGATGTTTACAAGTGACTCAGTGGGCCACCAGGCTGCCTCTGTCCTGTCACTCACTGGCTGGTTCTGACAAGGTACGTTCCTATTTTATTCTTTTCCTTGTAAAAATTAAGGAGTTGGACTCAAGTCCTTGTTGGCCTCTTCTAGTTTTAAAATGAATAGTTTCCTTGGGCCTCCCTGGTGGCCTAGGGGTTATGTCTCAGCCTTATCACCCCTATGGCTGAGCGTGCTTCCCAGCCTGCCGGGTGACCCACATGGTGCTGCAGACCTCTCCTGTCTCACCCGCTGCTCCCCTCAGCAGTGTTCTTCGTTGATCTGCCTGTTCTGCTCCCCACTCTGTCTCTGGTGAATTCTCTCATCCCCCATACACCTGGCTTGTACCCCAGTTCTTCTAGGCAAAAAAAAAAAAAAAGTTTCTTCACTCTTAGAGAGCCATCGAATTCGCAGTGGCTCTATCTGCCCTAATGCTGATCCCTGGGACACAGCCGCACCCCCACATTCTGAAGCTCCACCTCCCTCTCTTCATTTGCCAGCAATGAGCCTCTCAAGTGCCATAACCAGCCAGAGAAAGTTGGCGGGGCCGCAGCCACTAGCCAGGTCGCTGAGGCACGGCTGGGAGGCCTGAGTGGCAGCGGCCCTGCCCCCTGCACACCTGCCGCCTCCCTGGCAACAGCACACAGCAGCCTGTGCGACCATCCTCCCCCTGGAAGAAAGGCTCATGGGGCATATGAGGGAGGGAGGCGGAGCTTCGGAGTGTGGGGGTGTGTGTTCCAGGGATCAGCAGCGGGGCAGCGTGTTCGATGGCTCCCTAGAGTGAAGAAACTCCACTTTTTATTTTTTGCTCCCATTGGCGCCAGGCCCGTCAGCCTGACTGACTCCCTCCATCCCGTCTCGGTTTCCTTACCAGGGCAGCTCCTCCGGTACTGTTACAGATGGAAACGCTTCCAACACGTGGCAGCAGGGTCAGTGTGTGTGTGTGTGTGGAGGGGCCTGCCAGTCTTGCCACACCCACAGTACGCTCAGGACCCTATGAGGAGAGTACGCCTCCTTGAGATGAGGAACCAGATTCCAGGACAGCAAGAGCAGTAGAAGGCGGCCAGGGCCAGGGCCAGGGCGCCCACAGCAGAGGAGGGCTTTTCACTGCGCCCTGTCAGCCTCAGACACAGAGCGACCGGTCAGCTAGCACGTATCCCTGACTTCTGACATCTGCCCTCCCTGCTTCTGGCCTGAGTTGACAGGAGGCAGCCCCCTCCCACGGCTACCCCTTTTCCAACACTTTTCCAGGCGTGACGAGGCCGCCTCTGGGCTGAGCCGCACCGCCACGCGGATCCAGCAGGTGGCAGTGGCTTGCTGTCCTCTGGGCCAGCCATTCTCTGCCAGGGACCCCATTGGGCTAATCGACAGCCTGGCTCTCAGCAGAGAGCATTTTCTTACACCACACTGTCTTTATTAGCTCATTCCTCAGATGATGCTCATTAATCTACTTCTGGAGAAATATTCATTCTCTCCACTACACAGCATTCTGTGTGCGGTGGGAAAGGCTGAGCCAGGCTGCGTCTAGGGAGAAGGGATCCAGCAGGCGAGGGGAAGCTGCCTGGTTTCCGGCACACACAACGCAGAGCTACGGGACCGCGTGATATGTGAAGCGCTACCGAGGAGGCGAGGCACGGGCGCGGTTTATGACTGGAAGGCTGACAAACACTAGGCGGCCTGGGCAGCCCTTGCTGCTCGTGACCCTCCCTTTGGGGATGAAGAAAACAGTTTCCACGCAAGGGAGGGGGCCTGAGAACGCCCCTGTGCTCAGCCTGGCGGGCCCTGCACTGCAGGCTCATGGGGGGTGGGGTACCTGCACAGAAGGTGTGAGTTAGCCCAGGTGAGGGGAGGCAGCATCCTCCTAGGGGGGTGTGAACTAGGATGATTCTGTCTAAACTGCAGCACTCTGTGGGCATCAGGCTACTGGTTTCTTGTCAGGGCACTGACTAACGAGTTCCCAGTGCAGACAGCAGCACATGGTAAGCGTCCCATCCCAACACACATCGGGGTTTTTGAGCCTTTCACGTTCCAAGATGGCGTGCCAGATGAACTGACTCTGCTTGAGCCGAATAAGCCGGATGCAGGCAGCCAGACAGGAGCAGCCCCTTGGACTAGTGCCCCGAGTTCTGCAGAGCAAGCTCTCACCTCTGCCTATTTGGTTTTCAAGAGAGTAGTTCTCCACAGATCCAGGCTTA